AGACATGTATTACTACATAGCCAGTCAGCACCCCTTTCTAGCCAAACTGGACAACCGAACTTCAATTGTTGCAACCACTCCCAAAATTAAAACGTGGATTTGGTCATTTTTACATTTAAATTTAATTGTGTGGAAATCTATCCTGTATCTATTCTGTTACCTCGTCATTAATATTTCTGTTTAATGAAGTATTGATTCGTACCCGTACTTACTAATGTTGTTTGAAAACTTGTACAAGGATATATATATCCTCGTGAGTATTATGCTACGCTGACATACACCCTGGTACAACTTAAACATGCATGTAGTAGGGTATACTCATAAACTTATTCCAGACCTCCAGATACCTTGTTACTGTTAGTGCAGTCTGGTGGGTATAATGTAAAAACTTTCATGCAAAACCCAGAGATACAATAAAACTTACAAAAGACCATCACTTGCAATCTGCCTGTAGACACAGTCAGGGAGTAGTAACATATAGTAACTCGGATAGAAACATAGCTCCAATCACCTTCCCAATACAATTGGGTTGAACCTTTACCAACTTACATACATGTACTGTAGTGACGTACTACCTACTATATTATAATTATAGTTGTGGCAAGTAGGAACAATCTTTCGTATCATCGTTTACAATGCCAAATAAATAAACAACGATGAATGTAACATAACTCGAGCTACTTGAAGTACTTCTACTTCTTATCTATACTGGAGCTCTCTCACGCTACTGGAGATACGTAAGTCTAGATAATATCACATTCTCAGCACATTTGTTTCCATATTTTTTCTAGTTTTAAACCTACCACCGCACCCGTACTATACCGGTACTATTACTATTAGTATTAGTATTACTATTACTAATTTAACTTACACTTATTTCTACTTCTATTCTATACTGGACAGTCCGTAAGGAATAAACGTCCACTCGGTCCAGGGGGTTAAACTTATTAACATCACGAACACTAACACTAACACTAACATAATAAGACCTGCCTCTCTGGCGAAACCGCACACGCGCAAACATCACCCGAGTTCACCTCATCTAAACCATCTAGATGCCTAAACCAAAGATCCTAAACCAACGACAAAACACACGCAGACGACCACTTGAACAAACGCACAGATCCCAGGGCGGGGGAACCGGAATTCCTGCACACAGCAAATGCAAACTTTGACAGCAACTATCCACCGACACAACGCACACCGTTAACGCGTAGATCGTCCAAAAGACCCCTCGAACGCGCGCGTTTACTTCGCAACGAGAGGAAATAGAGTTTATCTCACCGAAAACCGGCGCAATATTCGCTAACTTACCCGAAACTTTACTGCTGAACACGTTTAGCAATGGCAGTCCTGTGTGGTGCGAGTTAGGGATGAGCGTTAGGGCGGAGCCTGACCTGTCAGTACAGTGCTGGTTACCGCATCGGTTGCGCCACCTGTCGCCGACATATGTGGGATTCGCCCGAGCGCAGCGTAGGCGGCGATGACGCACATGGGCGTGAGGAATTTGTCACCCACACACGCGCACGCTCTCTCTCTCTCTCTCTCTCTCTCTCTCTCTCTCTCTTTCTCTCTACCTCTCTCTCTCT